ATTATGGAAACAATGCCTCATTTGAAGCGAAAATAGAGAAACCAAAAAAATGCAAAAGCTCATACGCCTAGGGGAGTCGAACCATCAACACCCACCCTCACTGCCTGATTGAGAATCCTCCACGCTATCCACTAGGCCATCCGATCGTTGTAGCTGAACACCGCTCCGATCGTTGAAGAAACCATTCCAAGGAGCCGCTCACTCTTGATCACGTGCCACAAATAAGACCCCCTTTGCGACTGTTTTTCTCCTCGATCCCCATAGAACCTTTATAAGGACCCCCCACTCAACAACTGGTCAAAGTTGCAAGTGATGTGGAGCCCATAGAGGCTCAAAACCAATCGGTTTCCATACACTTCTTTTTCACTCCTTTTTTGGTATTCAAAGAGCCATTTAGGAAAAATGAACGTCAGTTTGGTAGTCCATGAACGTGCCCCTACATCATGCAAAAAACCGTTTTCAAAAAGCGCGCCACGTCCTGAACGACCTCCCTGGTCAAGTCATTAAAGAGGCCATTCCAAGGAGCCGTTCACTCTTAATCATGTGCCACAAATAAGAGCCCATTTGCGACTATTCCATCGATTCCAGTAGTACCTTTATAAGGACCCTCCACTCAGCAACTGGTCAAAGTTGCAAGTGATTTAGAGCCCACAGAGGCTCAAAAACAGTCGGTTTCCATGGACTTCTTTTTCACTCCTTTTTTGGTATTCCCAGAGGCGTTCAGGAAAAATGAACATCAGTTTGGTACTCCATGCCCCACATCATGCAAAAAACCGTTTTGAAAAAGCGCTCCACGTCCTGATTGACCTCCCTTCTTAGGTCCCTTGCTTAGGGGGGAGTCCTCATTTTCCAGCTAGCAGCCATTGTCAAGAGAAAAAAGTATCACAAGTTGGATTTCCTTATTTATAAAAACTAGCGGTCCAAGTAATAGCGTTGGGGCGCGCTCTGACGCGCACCGACGATCGCGGCGATCGCCACTGCTGTCGCGAAGTATGAACGCTGCCTTGTGTGTTATATGAAATGAGAAGTTTTTGTGAGCAGACCTTTACCTACGAAACGGCAAAAACTTGTTTTCAAAAGCCCATCCGAATTGCTTAGAGAAGTAATTACTCCACAAAACCCTGACGAGGTTTCTTAGATTACCCAGTATCACTTGTGCTCCTAATCATCGAGTTGGTGGAGCGGGGCCCTGACGGTCTCCTTCATTCCTGCAATGTGCTCGAGTTGCTCGAAGGATTCCCCCCTGCTCGAGGGACATGAACATTCTGTGGAATCCAGTTGATAGTCGCTCTTGTGAAGCCGTCATCCTCAAAACGCCTGGTGTGTCCGTCCCACCTGATCTTTGAAACCTTGACGTTTACGGATGTATCTGTCGTCCCATGGATGCCATAGAGGAAAATGACATGTCGTGGTGAACCACGAAGTGTCATTTTCCATTCTATGGCTTAGCTTGTCAGTGTGATGTTTATATGCTGTTTTGCATGTAAGTGTCGCTGAATCGATAGCGAAGGGTTTTGAAGGAAATAAAGGAGAAGTTAACCGCCGTGTCAGTTTTGGTGCATCGGCCAAAACAGAAGGGAAAGGCAAGGTCACCAGCAGTGGTGAGAAACGGTAACCCGCAACAGCCGCAGAGGTGAAAACAAGGAACCAGGTTCAGCACCCGCAAAGTTGAAAAGACGAAGATCCACAGTATCCAGCACCACTGGGGGTGCCTGCGAGTGTTCGCTGAGGTTTTACGAATCACAGGGATGAAAAGGTGAAAGCGACCTAGGTAAAGAAGGAATGAAAAAGGTCAGAGACTCTATAGCGGACGATTAAGAATGCATCGATAATATACGGAGAATCAAAAGTGCATAACACTGCAACGTGGAATTTTTTTTCACAGCGATTTTTAAAATTTACGCCAAACCGCAAACATATTCAAGTAACTCGGATAGGATCCAGTATGAAGAGACTATGCTATTGGCCTAATTAAAGGAGCATACCACACATCGACTTTGCTAAAACTAGTCTCCAGTCGCTCAACGATAAAATGAAGGACTTCCATGACAATACGAAAAGCAAGGAAGAAGAAAAACCTCTGCTCCAACAGTTCGAGCAGAAGAACAACTGACCCAGTTCGATGACGTAATGAAGGAAGCGGTAGAGCTTCAGTCAATGCTGATGCGCTTGGCAGAAGATGTCAGCAGCAAAAAAAAAGAATTGAACGCAAGTTAGGAATGCTCCAAAGATCGATACCATCCAACAAAACGCTAACGATATCCACTCAAAATTGCAGGCCACGTAGGATCTGACTAGTGCCACACATTCTTCACAGTTCGGCGAAGATAATGAAGCAAAGCGCAACTTACTCTCACATCGAGCATAATAGCACCACCTAGAGTCAATTTACCATCTTTTCCGGGAATGAAGAAGTTCCCAGAGTTTTGGGCAGGTCACGAGACTCTTGCAAACAACCCTATTCTCGCTGTGGTCGAAAAAATTCCATTACTCAGAGATAATCTCCAAGGGAACTATGGCAAGCCTATCCGAGTACCACAGAATTATGATTGGATGGTAAAAACGCTGCACAGAAAGTACGGCAGTGAGCCAGCGAAAAGCAAAGCAAAGGTGGCATTAGCAACAGGTGACATTAGCAGGCCACCACAGATTTGTGCGATATGCGAAATTAGCGGCCATTATACGTGGCAATGCCAGTCTACTCTGCCCATAAATAAGAAAAGAGACATTGTAGTGCGAAAACGTCTATGCTGGAAGTGCTACTCTCCCCAGAATTCAAGTGTACAGCGTTCAAGAAGTAACTGCCGCTTCTGCGGAAGGATGCATCACGCTGAGCTGTGCTTTATGAATAGAAGCTCAGACGAGCGCGCTACCGTACCTAAGCAAAACACTTCTCTGTTCAACAAAGAGCAGAAGCGCGATCAAAGAAACATTGTTCTCATCGCAACAGACAAGCGAACAAATGAGTCTCCGCTTTTTTTCTCGCAACTCTATTCCGCAGCAGCGCAAAAGCCATGATATCAACATACATATAGAACGTGACTTACAAGGGAATGGTTTTAAATTCTCGTGCAACTTTGAATGGAAGACCTGAATACATCGATAGAGTCTCGAATGCTGATTACGAATATGCAGATTAAAAGTGCTACGGGGACCTCCCAGACGAGTTACGGGCGGTCAAATTTTGCGCAAACTCCAAAAAAAACTTTGCATCGTGAGCGCTGCTGATCGATTGTTGGGCAGTGCCACTGTGGCATAGTGGTAGCGTTCTGGTTTTTAAGCCAAATGCTCGTGTATCTGCACACCGTCGGCGCGAACGTCTCCTATAAAAGTATTTACTCTGGTTTTCGAATCTTCCGAGTTTACGGTACAGCAGAGCAAGCAGATGAAGTAGGCCAAGTAGATCAAGTATATTACACATGTCGATCGAGTGTGGATTGATCACTCTGCCCTCTTCGAACACATTACCCATCCGACAATTCGAAGTTTTGGCCAGAATCACAATTTGGCCATCACCTTCGTTCGACGCAAAAACGATCAATCCCCTCGTTCAGCTGATAACCACAACAACATGAGGAACGAGTTTCTGGCAAAACTAATTGTCGTATGGGTGATGAGTTTGAAAAGGGCAGATAGGGACAAAATCCATACTCGGTCGATCGATCACATCATGTATTTGATCTAGTTCATCTGCTTGCTCTGCCGGACCGTAAACTCGGAAGATTCGAAAATTAGAGTAAAGGCTCCTGAAGAAGACCAAGCAAAAATTTTCGCGCCAGGATGCAAACCCACGAGTATTCGGCTTTGAAGCGAGACGTTACCGCTAGGCCACGGTGGCACTGCCCAGCGATCGATCAGCAGCGCTTACGAGCCAAAACTGAGTTTTCGCAAACTTTGACCGCCCAGAACTCGTCTGGGAGGTCCCCGTAGCACTTTTAATCTGCATATTCGTAATCAGCATTCAAGGCTTAATCGATGTACCTCGGCCTCCAAAGTTTTATGGGAATTTGAAACCATCCCCTCGTTAGACCAGGATTGAGTTGACAGCCCCGAGAACGATACCGAAACGGTTGAGAAAGAGTTCGATAAAGAAATGATTGAGAATCCCACCAACATAGAAAAGAACACCACCAATCCGAAGAAAGAACAAACAGCGCTCATGACTGCTGAAGGATGTCTTTGGAATGATGACACGCAGAAGTTCGAGAAAAACCATATTTTTTTGACACGTGCCGAGAGAACAGTGATTCAGGAGGAACCCGCAAAGAGGTTATGCCTCCCGCAACTGAGAACCGAAAGGTGTTTGATGTCCGGAATAGGAAGAGAAACCGAAACATCCCAATGCAATATCGGACATTGAAGATGGGGACAGCATAGGAAGGAGAACTGGAAATTTTAGTACAAACCAAGCCTATCCTTACGAATGGTTTCCCTGCAGTAAAATTGGGCACAGCTGATCAGCAGTTCCTTGAGAAGAAAAATCTTCTAGTGTGTAATCCCAACATAAGAGGTGAGCACCATGTACCCACGTTCTGGTAGGCCTTGACTATTACCACAGTTTTGTTCCTGATAGTGGAAGCACCCTTAGGGCTGTTTCGGAGTTGCTAGCTAATATTATATTTATATTTAGCTTGATAGTATATGCGTGGCTTGACTGATCTGAATGGTGGTGATACAGCAACCTCACTCATCTCTTTGCAATCGATTAGACGGATCGGGAGCTGCTAAATAAGCTTTTCGAGCTCGAAGACTTGGGTATTGCTTCCGATGAATACGCTGAGAGTAGTGGCTTTTTCGAATACTTCCAAACGTATTGGGAGCAAGTATTTGAAAATGGGTGCGTGACTGCACCATTCCCTTTCAAGAGCTCAGTGCATGACCTCGCAGACAATTGCAGTGTGGCATTACGACGCCCAATGAGCCTCCACATTCAACTGGAAAGGAACACCTCTCAGAAGGAATGGTACTGAAAGATACTCAAACATTACGAAACTGATGATATGATTGAACGAGTCAACGTGACGCTCCCGATTCCGTTGCTATATACTACATGCCGTACTCCGGAGTGTGGAGACCCCAAAAACCAAGACCTTTACGAACAGTGTTTGACGCCTTCGTCAAAGCGTAAAGGACAAGCTCTCCCTCAGTGACGTGACACATAAAGAGGAATCACTTTTCAATAAAACCCATGATATTCTGCTAGAAAATAGAACTTGCAAGATGATCATGTTATGCGATATGGAAGCAGCTGTCACGCAAACTAGGCTGTAAGAAAGTCATAGAGCTCTTCGCAGATTTCTCTGGCTCGCACAATCACAGGCAAACCTCCCACTCAAGACAACATTATGGAGTATCGTTTCAAGAGAATTCCTTTCGGAGCGAAACCATCGCCCAGTATCTTGAATATGTGTCTTCTGTCATTTCTACAGTCCAAAAAGTGCGCCCTCGCACGAGAAATTGGAGAAAATCTCCATGTCGACAACATTCTCCTCTCAGCAGATGGGCTATCTGCTGTCAGAAGCTCTAGAAAAGTGCAAAGAAGGCAAAACACTGCTTGCAGGGATGAGAATGAACCTAAGGGTATATGTTTCCTTTCGGATCAACGTGAACGATAGTATTCCCCAACATGACAGGGCCCCTCACGCCAGAATAAAATAGCTCGGAGTAGGTATGACACTATTGCCGGTGAGTTCCGCGTCGACGTCAAGTTAGCGCAAAAAATGGATCTAACAAAACGAGATATTGTTAGCCAGTTAACAAATTCCAGACCCGCCTATTTCGCGTGTCATTCACGTGTGCCTTTTTCGATGCGAGGCTGGCGTGACGCACATGGTGCGTCACACGGCCGCACGGGGCAGGTTTCAGACGCGATTTTTTCCCGTTGATTATTTCAAACTGGAATATAGCATTTGAGGGTCCTTTCACTTGCCAGTCACGAACATAACATTCATTTTCGCGCTTATTTGGCGTCACGATCACTTTTAACGAAATTGATGTGACTTTGCATTTAGGGGTATTCAGGGATCGCGATCACGAATATGACATTTACTTTTGGCGCTGGAGCCATTTGGCTCCACCAGGAGCCAGTTTGCGACGGCTCTTTCAAAGAATATCACGTCACTTTTCATTTTTTTTTTTTTCATTGATATGTGAAATGTGAAAGGATTTCATTGGTGAAACACGTGCTAAAATAACAAAACTTCTGCTTCAACTTCAACAATTCGCTGCATAGAGCAAGATTCTCCGCCGCAAAGTATGAACACATCCACATCTGATTTCATCGGAGCGAAACACGAATACTATATATCTACAGGGTGACCAAAAAGTTTTGG